CAAAAATATGAGATATGCTAACTCATGGTCCCACTACCTGCAAATTAATTCTCTGCATCATATAATGAAAAGGATCAGCATTTTAATTAGAACATTTGCCATGTATCAAATTATGCAAACATACAAACTCTTTATAGTGTTGTTTGAACACAGAAGTAGAGATACTTCTATGAGCTTTACAAATTAAGTTTAGTAAACACAAATGACTACAAACTTAGTGTGCAGATCCTCTTTCCAGACAGCCAAGTGACATTTAAATTTTTTTTTTAACCAAAGACTAATGAGCACATCTTTTTGTGTTAAGGTTGATCAAGGCTCATTGTATTTCACACAGTTGGGTGGGAAAATGCATTATTAGTTTATTGTGGCTTAGGTCTACTCTCATGGGGTCTCTCTCTTGTCCTAGAAAGGCAGTGTTTATTTTAATCTACTTTATAACGTTTAGAAAAGTCTGATTATGCATATTAATGCAAAATGTTCAGATGAAGGTACATGAAAGCCTTCCTAAGCCAAATCCAGTTTATTTAGATGTACAATTCAAATGGAAATAAATGTTATTTAGGAGTTATGACAGGTAGAAAAATTAACAGAATCTGTTTTCCCCTTAACACAAATGGTACATCTTTATAATTGCTTGATTTACAGTACGACCCAGGGACCAGCTTTTCTTAGACTAAGGCTAACTCATATAAATTCACATAATGCATGAACCCACTAAGTTAATTAGCCCTTGGTCTATGGAATACCAAATATTATTCTAAATTAAACTGTGTGTTACCAATTTAGCTTCAGAAAGGTGGCTGGAGATTTAACTTAAACTCTGATCTTTGCTCTAAATGTGATTGAAATCACTCGGTAAAGGATCAAATCAAAACATTTTTCCCCAGTCTATTTGCATGTGCATGCTTGTTGAAGGCTGATCTAGCTAAAACATATGTCATACCAACTGACAGGAGTGATCTTGCTGAGGCAGGAAACACTACCACTGCTTCTTCTTTTAGAAAGTCTTGGCTTCTAAGAACAACCTTCATAATCTTTTTCCATCATGGATACAGGAGGCTGTAGGAGATATTCTCAGGTGGAGGAGGCAGCCTAATTTAAAGGCCTCTTCAAAGTTGATTCTCACCTCTTTGCCATTCATTCTAACCAGCCAGGATTCTTCCTTGACAGTTGGATCTTTTGTTGGCTCCTTTGTCATTCCCACTGGTTCTACTTTCTAGAAGTTCCTTCTGCTACCACCATCCATTTTCATGCAGAGAAGTCYCAAACCTGGACACTGTCTTCTGTCTGTCCAAGTCTTATCGTTCACTGTATTTGTCCCATAGAACTTATGCTCCACCACATGGTTGCTCTTGTACACTTGACTCCTGACAGGTGTTATTCCCATTCCAAACATGGATTTGTAAATGTTAGTAATATTTTTAAGAAATGCTTGAGCACTGAAATATATCCCAAGCTCTTTTCCTTTTATTTTTAAGACAGGCTCTCATTAAGTTGCCCAGGCTAGCCTTGCATTTATAATTTGTCTCAGCTTCCCAAATAGCTGGGTTTACAGGCATGTGCTATTATGCCCATGGATTTCATAAATGTTTTTTTTTTTTTTTTTAAATGGCGGGTGACGGGTGATTTCAAGTACATAGAGAACTGCAGTTTGATCCACTCTTTATTACCCTTTCAAAAGAGGAATAAATAGTTGCTGGGCATGGTGGCACATGCCTGTAATTCCAGCTTCTTGGCAGGCTGAGGCAGGAGAATTGCAAATTTAAGGCCAGCCTGCACAATTTAGATMCCGTCTCAAAATAAAAATAATAAAAAGGGCTGGTGATGTAGTTCAGTTGTAGAGTATCATCRGGTTCATTCCCCAGTACCACAAGGGAAAAAGTCATAAATTGATTGAAATGATTAATATATCAGAAAAAAATGTACTACTGTTATTATAATTTTATTTACATCTCATGATGAATGCTTCGTCTACTTTAGATTATTTTCCCAATCCTAGATGAATAACATGAAGAGACTATATGATAATTCTCAATAAAGCTTTGCTGGTTTTTTAAAAGGGAAATAATAAAATATGAAAATTATGGCATAGGAAGTTGGATAAAGCATTTTGATGAGAGAAAAAAATGGGCTACTTGTATGTAATTCCTTTCTGTAGCTCTAAAAGTTGACAGTGAGGTATAAAAATTTATAAACTTTCCTTAGGGGAAAATTATGTCAAGACACTGAAGCTAATTAGAAAGATTACAAAGCATACCCACACACAATAAATAAAATATAACCTAATGTTTGTATTATATATCAGTAAACACATTATTTTTAAGAAAATTATAAAACTCTTATAAAAGAAAAACATAATTACCATTTAGAGTTATGGTGATTATTTCTTAGAAGTTCTTCTAAAATATGCCTGCTCTAATTGGATAATTTTTCTTTATATGCAATCATTGACTAATTCAACTTGGGTCTGTTCTTAAAATCAAGATGCAAAATCTTTCAATAGGTGTTAATAAAAATACTATTTCATTAACAAAAGTTGCCCATCATATAGAAAAAAAAAGGAAAAATTTGAGGGTTCTGTCATTTTAGATAAAGCAAGGTTAAGGAAGTTCGGACCCATCTTCATTGATAGCACCTGAAAGAATTACTAGCAGTATTTGCATACCCACCATCCTTCTTGCACACTCAAATCTCAAACCTGTTTTTCTCTTACGGTCCTCGCCCTTAGCCCCTAGGCTATATTGTGGAGAATCAGTATCTGTCATTTTGACAGATTTTAGCCTTTCTATGACACTCATAGATTAAAATTATTTTCCTGACATCTGGATGCATTATTTATTGGAAAAGATTCATTACCTAAATGATAAAGTRGGAAATATTTTAAAATCCTCAAATTTTATTCTATTAATGAAAGTTCTTCAATAGATAGGTTTGGTTTTATCAACCATCACCACCACCATCATGTGTCTTCATTATGGTGGTTGACATATTACATTCCCACTATGGAACATGGTCCATGTATGTCGTTGTATGTACTCTTCACAATAATTCTATGAAGACAGTTTTTCCCAATCTAATAAGTGAGGAAAATAAATGCTAAAGCACAGAGGAGTTAAGCAATTTGCCCAATGACATATTACAAATAAATGGCAAAGTCAGGATTCACTTAGCACTGTGGCTAGAATGTGTTATTTTCCTAATGGTTTTGAGGCTTCATAACTTAGATGTAAGAGGCCTATTATTAATTAATTCATCAAACAACTAAATTTTAATGAATAAATGGCATTGTGGTAGGCAATGGGATTAAAATCGAATTTAAAACAGACTTAAAAAAATAAAAACGAAAAAGCACTAAATGCTACTTACAAACTAATCTGCACTTGGCTGCAAAAAATATTTCTGGGAGCCAGGCTCAGTGGTGCATGCCTTTAATCCCAGTGGCTCAGAAGGCTGAGGCAGGAGGATCACAAGTTCAAAGCCAGCCTTAGCAATGGCGAGGCGCTAACCAACTCAGTGAGATCCTGTCTCTAAATACAAAAATGGGGCTGGGGATGTTGCTCAATGGTTGAGTGCCCCTGAGTTCAATCCCCAGTAACAGCCACCCCCCCACAAAAAAAGATTTCTGGGAAATTTTTGTAGTTCAAAACACCATAAAAATTGCTACTTTTGTATGAGGGGTGTTCATTATTCATTCAGCTCCCCTCTCGMTTTCCATGTTCCCACAAATGCCCACAGGTTCTGAAATATTTTTTCAATATCAGAAACAACATTTTATACAATAATGGTATTGTGTTTCTGAGACGAGATTCCTGGACTTCTACAAACATTAACATATTTATTACCATGACACTAGAATAAAAGGATGGCTTGTTAACATCAAAGGTCCCCCAAGAAGAGTATTGATCAGTAAATGTGTTGGAAACCATGACCAAATTTAAGAACAAACTGGCAATTGGCTGCCTGGGCCAGCAGAATTCAGGAACTTCCCTGATTGTGGAATTCAATCAAAGGTAGTCCAAGAAGCCTTATAGTTTTCAGTATCCATGGGGGAAAAAAAGAAAGCCAGGAGGTCCAGATTAAAGGACACTAAGAAAATCTCGATGATCTCCCTCCATCCCCATCACTATACAACTAGGCCAACAGCTGGGTCATGCAGGGTGAAACTAGGACTCCTTTCAAATATAATCTCAAAGCTCAGGGACTGATTGTGATATCTCTTAATACCTCAGCCAGAACAATAGGCACTTCTTCAAAAAGAAACTTCCTTAGGCTCTTACTGTTGCTCTGGTCCCAGAGAGCTTCCTGGTGTCAGTCTACCACTTCTGATATGCTTAACTGACTGGGCTAACAGTCTATGTCAATTTTTCTTGTGTATAATAAGGCAATATAAAAGAGAATAAATGATGATAATCATAGGTTTATCAATAAGGCACCCCAATGTACTTTAAAGACACTTTCATAAATATTGATTTATTTCCTACCCATTTCTTGTAAACAAATATCAAGAAATAAATGTAATTCCTTTTTAGAGGTTAGACAAGTAAAAGATTTAATTACATGTATTGCTTATTTTAGCCATATCTAAAATTTCTCGGTCCAGAATTTCTTGATGAGTGCCCTAAGAACTAGGGAGATTAGAAAATTAGCAAATTTATACTGTTACCATATGAAAACAGCAAACAGGTGATTCTAGAAAGTTAAGGTTTTTACCTTATCATCATTATGTTAATAAGTTCAAATGTAAACATTTCATGTTTTACCACTTACTGCTTTGCCCTTCATAATCTTAAAATTATGATCTGAATTATTCTACATGTAAAATATAATTTTTTAAAGCATTGGGCACCAACAYGAACATTTAAAATTTTAGTTTCTGCTACTTTACAGAATCTATTTTAAACTCTTAATTAAAAACTTCACACAATATATGACACAGATTTTTCTGGCAAAAGGTGAATCTGATATCCTGATTTATAATGTCATAAAAACTATTAAAGTACCTTTTAAAAGGGACACTTTAGCAAGAGGTTCATTTAGGTCTTGCTCATCCATTTGGGCGTCTACAGAAAGGTGAAAAAAGAGATAATTACAGACAGCACTCAGAACTATCAGCAATCTATTATTATCAAAATAAGTAACTAAATTTACACAGCTACTATAGTTGGATAGTTAAAAGTAGTTTTTAAAGAAATAGGTATCTAACAGTCAAGGGAGTGAATTGACAAATGAAAGCACTATTTTACCCCTACAAAGTTTGAAATCTCCATCTACATTAACTTGCGTACCTAAACTGCTATTTAACATTAGGTTAAAACTCACCTGTAGTGTCGTCGCTGCTTTTTTCCTTGCTTGGACTCAGAGTATCTGATAAGTCAGAGTCCTTTGCTCTTGCCTGGTTTTCTACCAAGAAAAAACATAAAAGTAAAAATCTTATTATAATTAAATATCTTATAACAAGAAAACTGCTTCAGGGTATGAATGCTCAAAATCTACTATTATGCAAAGTAGTAGATTTTAAAAATTAACTGAGATCACTGAATCTTACTTTGTCACTACCCCAGTCCAAAATGGAATGCTGGTTATTACATGGAGCTCACATTAAATTAAATTGCTACGCAGAGGGCTGGTTTTTTTTTTTTTTTTTTTTGTTCAAGGTTGTCCACTTGCCAACTAGAAATAAAAATGAAGCAAGCTTTGTTGAAGTATTCAGAGAACTGCAACAAATATAGCAAAATTACCAGTACAATGTGGACATTGTATAAAGAGGATGAAAGAAAAAGGCTTTATTATATAAAAACACTAGCTAGAAGGTTGCCTTAGTAATATTTATACTCATGTAATAAAATCCTATAAAATCACATTTGTTACAAATACCTTTAGAATAAGAAAATAACAATCTATTTCTTTAGAAACCATAAATATGGAATCACACTGAGGAAAAACTTTTTTAAAAGTTTGGTACTTATTTGCAAGGGATGCTCTGCCAGGTCCAATGAAGACACCCTAGGCCTCGTTTTCAACTAATTGCTCTCAAAAATCCTAATTATAGGCCAACATTTTATTAAAGATGACTGGTAATTAATTAGGCTCCAGATTCTCATCTGTAATGGCATATTCACATATACTATGCTATTCTTTAGGGCAGCATTTACAAAGAAGGCAATTTCTCTGCCCAAAATCCTGTAGCATTTCCTCATTCTCCACAACCCCTCAGGCAAACTTTATGTTGCAGAATTTAGCTATTAGTCCCACCATTAATTCCCACAGGAGTTTTGCTTGAGTCATGTCAGCTTCTTTATAGGGGAGGTGTACCAGCTCATAATAGTCTACAATTTTTTGCTCAAGTAAGTATTTYCCTACCCTCAACTTGGCCTATTTCTTCTGTAAGACAAAGCTGAAGTCCTCATCTCTAAGATACTTTTCATTTCTCCAGGATGATGTTTATTTTTATTACTAACTTTCTGTGTCTTATTTATTTGCAAATGTATGTTTATAGTGGTACTGGGGTTTGGACCCTGGGTGCTCTACCACTGAGCTGTACTCCCAACCCTTTTATTTTTGAAAAAGGGTCTTGTGAAAGTCACTAAGGCTGGACTCAAACTTGCAATCCTCCTGCTCAGTTTCCTGAGTTGCTGGGATTAAAGGCATGAGCCACTATACCTAAGTCTATGTGTATATATTTTATTTTTCTAGTGGGATTACAAATTCACTAAGTGTATGCTTATTTCTTATAATATTATATGTTTGTACTATTTGTGGAAATATATATCAAAATTTTTAATGTGCAAACTCTAGTATTTTTTCTAAGGAAACAAAAGTCTGTAAGGTATATGCAGGGTACACTGATGCTCAATACTATTTGTTCATTATGGGAAAATGAAATGTGCATACTGTGGAATGGAAAATATTCAAGATACACTTACTATTAAGTAAAAGAGTATGTATAACTATGCAGAAAGATTCATGGCGAACATTTATTAATTTCATATAGTTAAACTATTATTTCACATTTTTGTAGTGACTATATATACTGTTTTCTAATTGAGATATTTTCCATTTTGAAAGAAATTAGAAATACATTTAAAACAGCTATTACTGTCAAAATACTTAATATATTAAAATGTAACTTGTTAAGGGTGTTTCATATTAAAACACTCTTAGAATTTGTGGCTTAATTTGCTTCTTTTTTCACTGCCATTTGTAGTCAAAAAGTCAACTGCTAAGTGACAGGAAGCTCAGATTAGAAGTGATCATCAAGGCCCGTGGGAACCTAATCTGTGACCTCTGCTACATTATGGTGTGCCACTGACAGACATTTCTGAATGTTCTGGRTTGGATCACAAAGTTACATTCTCAAATAAAACACGCTTGTACACCTAATCTCTATAAATGGATAGAAAAAGAATCATTCTGGAAGAACAGATAGGAAAATGGCTCTCCCCGGATGTTTGCTGATTTTTGACAATTTTATGATCTTTTCTTTGAAGTGAAACAAGTGTTGATGAACCCAACCTAATTCTATCTTAAGAGATAGAATTGGGAACCATCTTGTCACAAAGTTATTAAAAGTTCGTTTCTGTTTTACTAAGATAACTATTTGGCCTGACCTTACTCTGAGGGCTAATCTTATTTGGAATTCTTTCCCCTGCTCTAAACTCACCTTTGCCTGGCTCTCCTTGACCAGATAACAACCCTCCCTAAAACCTTAGCAGCCCCTCAGAAATTCTGATGTTGGAATCTCAATTTACTCCCTACCTTGAAAGTATGTGGATCATTAATCTGCTATCTGCCTTTGAATTATGCTTGCCAGAATCCTGTTAGCTGTAAGTTCACAAGACACCCCCATTTGTAAGTTTTTGTGCTATAAAAGCTTTTTCCTGGAGAGCTGGGCTGCTGTTCTCTGCTTTGGGTGAAACAGCTGCTGGCCAACTAGTTCTCTTGTGTACACAATATAAGCTTGCTTTAATCTGATTTAAAATTGGAGTCGGTGGTCTTTTCTTTGTGTCAYGGATTTAACAGTGTGTATATTCAAAAGTATTTCCTTGACTTAGAAGGAAGTTTTGTCCTATATTTAGAGTATTAACTTGTGTTATAAAATTGCCTTAAATGTGGGGCACCAAATCTTCCATCAAGATCTCACTAAAATGTAAGCTCCTTAAGAGAATGAATTTTTGTCTGTTTGATTAACTACTATATTTTCTATGCATAGAACAATGCTGAAAGAGATGAAAGAAGAAAGGAAGTTGATTGAAGGTAGTACACATCTACTTTGGGATAAGAATGCAAGTTTTCAGGGAGTCAAATGATAGTCCATCATTGTGTGGCCTGATACAACAGGCCACACATACAAAATTAAAAGGGGGGGGGCTGGGTATGTAGCTTAGTGGTAGAGAGCCCTGGGTTCAGTCTCCAGCACTGTAAACAAAACAAAACAAAAAACCCCCAGTGGCAAACCAACTCTATTCAAGAATGAAACACAAAACTAAATGAACTAATGTGAGACTATCCACTTATTTTCAAAACATCTATTCTTCAGTTAGAGCATTAACTTATATTCAAAACACCTATTCTTCAATTATGAAGGTGCCACCAATTTCTAGTATAAAAAAAAAATCACTGGGTGTGGTAGTRCATGCCTGTAATCCCAGAAATTTGGGAGGTTTAGGCATGAGGAACACAAGTTTGAGGCTAGTTTGGCAACTCAGCAACTCAAAATAAAAAATAAAGAGGGCTGAGGATATATAGCTCAGTGATAGAGCACCCGGAGTTCAGTTTCTGTAACAAACCCTCCCCAATCCACCTATTACTGATTGTCTCTGCAGTGCTTAATAAGATGTATATTAATAATATATAGAAAATGGAAGAAAGCTATCAAATCAATACCAAAACTGTTCCCAAACTGGGAATCCTAAAAAACGTATCTTTGAGTAGACATAATTACAGATGGGTAAAACGAATTTAGTGGTCATATACAATTTCCTGTACCACTGGAACAGGAAAACAAAGTTAAATATAAAAAACGGTAAACCTGATAATAGTGTTTCCTGCTTACTAAGCAACATTTCATTAAATTCCCACAACAATCTGGCAAGTGAAAATTTCATTTTACAAATGAGGAAACTGATGTTTAAAGAGCCACAGTATGTTGCCTGAAAGCATATAGTTTTTTAATGGTAAAATTATCTTCTTGTATTCTTTCTATTTCTACTTCCAAAGCTACTGTAATGATTAGGTTGAGTTAGGCCTTAAACATAAAACATATACAACTTATGATAACACACTACAGTAGGTGAAATCTTTAGAYGATATACTTAAGACTGTAACAGTTTGCAATTGTCAATTTCTAACAACTGATATTTTCAATGTAAAAAAGAAATTTCACCAAAAATATCACCAATGAAAGCATTAAAAAAAGAGACATTTAACCAGATTAAACAAAACAAAACAAACAAACAAAACAGCTTTATAAGCCGGACTGAAAACGTTTAAAATGTAACATATTTTAGCCATCCAGTTTGCTCTAAAGATTAATGGGAACAAATGTTGGCTACTGATAGAAAAATCCCTGAGTATATAAAACTTAGCTTTATATTTTCATTTTTAAAAGATGAATTTTGGGGGCTGGGGCTGGGGCTGAGTGGCCTAGCATATGTATGTGTTGGGGGGCTGGGGATGTAGCTTAGTGGTAGAGAGCCCCGAATTCAGTCTCCAGCACTGTAAACAAAACAAAAAAACCCACTGAAACAAACATCCTTGCACATTTGTTCAATTTGTTCCTTAAGATAAAAACCCAGGGCTGGGGCTGTAGCTCCATGGCAAAGCGCTTGCCATGGGACCCTGGGATCGATCCTCAGCACCACATAGAAATTAACAAATAGGGGGCTGGGTTGTGGTTCAGTGGTAGAGCGCTCGCCTAGCATGTGCAGGGCCCTGGGTTCGATCCTCAGCACCACATAAAAATAAATAACAATAATGATATGTGTCCAACTACAACTAAAAAATAAATATTAAAAAATTAACAAATAAAATAAAGACATTCTGTCCATTTACAACTGCAAAAAATTAAAAAAAAACACCCAGAAGTGGAACTGCTGAATGAAAAATATATTCTTTAAAACTTTCAATGSATATTTTATATACAGACTTAATAATAAAATCAGCAGTACTGCATAAAGATTTTTCAATAATGGCACATGATTTGAAGCAAACATATTGAAATTTAGAATGCATTAATTAGAAGCACTTAACAGCAAGGCACTTTTCTTTCATTAAAGAAGCACTGATTCCTTCCCTCCCCCCAAGCTTTAACTTTTATTTCAAAGTGCTGGCTACTGAACCAACTAATCTGAATAGGTATTTAGGTGATGAAGTAAAAAGCTATTTTAAAGTGTGCTCTCATCTCCCTTTAATAAGATGAAATAAATTGCCATTTGTCCTAAAAATAGTTCGCTATTCTGAAACTCAATGCCTGTTTGTCAGAACAATATTAGTGATGCATATTCTATGCATTCTTTCCCCAAATAAGGTTATCTGCTGTGAAAAGAATTTCAGAATAGAAGCCACTAGATATCTGAAATAACAACATCTGTTTAGACATTTTAAAAAGCCAATGAATCTACTTACTTTAACATAACAAAATGTACTAAAACTAAGTATAAAATTTTTATCATTCATTGTTTTAACAGACCAAAAGGATTGCTAGTTTTACACTGGCAACGTCTAACAGAAATTCTACTATGACAATGAGCACATCCCACCCAGATTTATTTGCTTAATTTTCCTCATGCATAAAAGTGACTTGACAATATGATTTGATGCATTAAAACTCACTTTTCTTCTGTAAGTCTGATGACTGTAAYGGAAAGAATTAACATAACAAACTACTTTGGACAATTGCTGAACCATTCATTACAAAATATAAGACAATTCTACAGACAAAAGTCACTATTTTTGTTTAAATCAAACTGAGATATAAAAAAATCAACAAAACATGAAATATAAGAAATTTTAAAGGTACTATAACCCCTAGGAGAAACTACAAGCATTTTTCCCTATCATATAAGTTCATATTGTGTTTGATTAAAATTTTAAGATCAAAGCTGAAAATAATGCTGGAAGTGAAACAGATCACAACACAATTTTAATGCCTGAAGAAATCTATAACAAGCATTAACTTTCAAAAAACAAAAACACACATACATGCACACTTTGAAAGAAACTTCCCAATCAAGATAATCTTTCCTAAAAGAGAAATCCAACTATTTTATATAACATCTGAAATTGTTACTAGATGGCCATTTTGTAAGCTGCAAAAAATAAACTGATGGTTAAAATACTATGACCTTGAAAATTTACACTTATCTATCTTCATTATCCCAGAGAACTCTGAAAAACCATAGAAAAACAGAAACGAACCTTTTGAAAGCTTTGTTTCTTCTACCACTTTGGTTAGATGCCCCTCTACGATCAGCTTCTCTGCCAAAGAAAATAAATGTTACTATCCAAGCCCAAATGGAGCAGCATTTCCCTGAGCGAGGCAGTGTAACACATTCCATGACCAAATTTAAAGATGATAACATTACTCCTATGACCAAGCTTGAACAAAAACTTGAACCTGGAAGGGGAACTAAGAGAATTTAAACTATGAGAGAGCAATCAGGTTAATGCAGAAAACTGMGGGTAGGGAGACAATTGCATTTTATTTTCATTAGATTGCACCTTATTTAATAAGTAAGTCATTGTGAACTGACTAAATTAAAACACTGTCAATTAACTAAATTGAAATAATGTATGCATTACCTCCATACTTATAATTTTTTGAGAACATTTAAAATCTATGAAATGGCCTATATGAAAATGCCTTGCTTCCATATCTTTCAAAGTTTAGAAAATTAACCTTTACTAGTTATTAGTAGATAGTAAACTCCTGTTTATTGCAATGAATCAATTTGTTTTGTCTATACTGACGTATTTTTAAAAAGCTCTAGACATGTATATTTTCCATTTGAAACAGGATTTAATTATTTGTCTATTCCTATTTGAAGTCATAGGTTAAGTCAAACTATACTATTCTCCAAAATAAAAAATTATTTAAAATACAAAAAAAGCAAGTCTAGATCTTTTTATGAAGGAATCAGAGGAAACAACCAATGCAACCTCTTTCTTTTTTAACTAAAAAAAAATTTTTTTTAGTTGTAGTTGGACACAATACCTTTATTTATTAATTTTTACGTGATGCTTAGAATTGAACCCAGCGCCTCACACGGTGGTAGGTGAGCACTCTACCGCTGAGCCACAATCCCAGCCCCCCCCCATTTTTAAACTCTTATTTTTCAGTTATAGATGGATATAACATCTTTATTTTATTTATTTTTATGTGGTGCTGAGGATCAAACCCAGGGCCTTGCACATGCAAGGTGAGCACTCTATCGCTGAGCCATAACCCCAGCCCCCAATGCAACCTTTTTAAGTCAAGGATATTGAGCTGAAATAAAGTAATTCTAAAGGAATTTTACTTAGACGAGAAATAAAAATTTTGTCATACCAATAGTTTACTTTTCCCTGCTGACACAATTCAACAAAGATGCCTATAGAACATACTTCAGGAAAATAAAAAATTCTACAACTTAAATTAAAAAAAAAGTCTTGTTTTATGTAAGATTATTAGTAAAGGTATAATGTATCTTCTTTATAATTTATTTGAAATCATACTTTCATATTCTACATTTCACTAGAGAGTATAACTATTCTGAATATCCCTTTTTAAAATCCTGCATGCCAATTGGTATCCTTCAATTTATTTATTTATTTATTTATTTAAAGTAGTATAGGGTGCGGTGGTGCATGCCTATAATCCCAGAGGCTCTTGAGGCTGAGGCAGTAAGTTCAAAGCCAGCTTCAGAAACAGTGAGGTGCTAAGCAACTTAGTGAGACCTTGTCTCTAAATAGAATACAAAATAGGGCTGGGGATGTGGTTCTGGTTGAGTGCCCGAGTTCAATCCCTGGTATCAAAACAACAACAACAACAAAAACCCAACAAACAGGGGCTGGGGTTATGGCTTAGCAGTAGAGCACTCATCTATCACGTTCGAGGCCCTGGGTTCGATCCTCAGCACCACATAATAATAAATAAACAAAATAAAGGTATTGTGTCCAACTACTTCTAAAAAATAAATATAAAAAAAAACCCAACAAACAAAATAACAACAACAAAAAGAGTAGTACTGGGGGTTGAAACTGGAGTTGCTTAACCACTCACCGACTTACATCTCTAGTCCTTTTTTTTTTTTTTTAAGAGAGAGAGAGAGAGAGAGAGAGAGAGAGAGAATTTTTAATATTTATTTTTTAGTTCTTGGCGGACACAACATCTTTGTTTGTATGTGGTGCTGAGGATCGAACCAGGGCCGCATGCATGCCAGGCGAGCGCGCTACCGCTTGAGCCACATCCCCAGCCCTCTAGTCCTTTTAATTTTGTATTTTTGAGACATGGTCTTGCTAAATTGCTGTCCTTAAGCTTGCAATCCTCCTGTTTCAGCCTCCTGAATTGTTGGGATTATTGGTGAGTGCCACTGAGACTGGCCATGCCTAGATCTTTTTATTTTGTATTTTGAGATAGGGTCTCACTAAATTTCCAATCTGGCCTCAAACTGGTAAGCCATCTGCGCTAGTCTCTCAGGTCCCTGGGATTACAGATACGTGCCACTGGACCCAGCTTCTTTAATCTACTTTTGCAGTTTGTGAAATAAGTGCTGTATTCTTTTACTCTTCAACCAGCTGTAACTTGGCTACACCCATCATTCAGTCACTGAAACGACTCCATGATCATTACAAACTTTTGTCTGCCAAAGCCCATAGCTATTTCACATAACTTTCATTTCTTATTGACTATTTGTCCCTGCTTTTTTAAATTATCTAAACCTTTCAAAGTAAAAGGTTTAGATAATTTAAAAAGACATCAGTCCTATAAGAAGTAAAATGTAAGATGTCCTACCTGTCCTCTTACTCCATTCTATTCCTGAAATTCACTTCCTTCCTACAAGCAACAACTTTTTAACTTTTAGTAATTTTTTTGTTATTTACATTTATATTACTAAATAATAAACTGATTTTTAAACTCTTCCATTTGAGGCATCACTCACTCAAAATCTTTAGGATTATTCTCTGATATGTTACTTACTATTATCATCACAAGAGTTACATTTTGCTAGTCTATAATCAGTATTCTTATTGACTATTTTATATATGTGTCATATAATATGATTATATTTCCTTTCTTACACAACACTTAGTATTTTTGGAGTTTGTAATGCCACATTTTGTTTAATGATTTTAAAAAATCTCTCTCTCAAACACAGTCCAAGTTTTAGGAGAACAATAAAATTCCTCAATACTGTCAAACATCCAGGTAATCTATCACATTATCCATCCATCCTTCCCTTCTCTCAATCTTGTAATGTGTGTGTGTGTGTGTGTGTGTGTTTGCTGGAAATAAAACCCAGGATCTAAGCTCTACCACTGAGCTACATTCCCAGCTCTTTCTACTTTTTATTTTGAGACAAAAGTCTATTTTTTTGAGACAAAAAAATCTCTCAAGGTTGGCCTGAAACTTGGAATCCTCCTCCTCAGCCTCCTGAGTGGCTGGGATTACAGGTGTGTGCAATGTACCTGCTCAGTCTTTCAACCTTATTGCTCTAGTCTGTGTTGTATCCTGTACAAAACTCCCTGACCCTAGATTTTAAATCTTCCTTTCCTATTTTATTCTCTTGTTTTTTTGTAACACTTCTGATAATATCCTGAGAAGTGGTGGACAGAGGGTAAAAGCTTTTGTAACTTTGTTCCTCTGAAAAACCTTATTAATGTTCTACCCTCACATTTATTTGATTGACAGTTTTTTTTTGTACCACGGATTGAACCTGGGGTGCTTAACCACTGAGCCACATCCCCAGTCCTTTTTTATACTTTATTAGAGACAGTGTCTCACTGAGTTGCTTAGGGCTTTGATAAATTACTGAGGTTGGGTTGGAACTCAAGATTCTCCTGCTTCAGCCTCCTGAGCCTCTGGGATTATARGCATGTGCCATCGTGCCCAGCTTGACTGACTGTATGATGAGACATAATTCTATAAGAAATAATTTTCCTTTAGAATTTTTAAAGCATCATATTTCCTTTCTTATACAATATTGTCTTCTAGCTTCTACCTAGAAGGTAAGCCTGATGATAGGATGACTCCTGTTCTTGAGTATGCATACATAGTAGAGATTTCTTGTGCTCAGTTATACCTGGTCTGACTGTTCTTTCTGAGTACCTAGGAGGATTTTATGTCTGAGCTCCTTAGAACTGAGGGAAGTTCATAGAATGCATGCTAGCCAGAGCACTTAAGAGAAAGTGGGACTAGAGTGGGACTATTCTATCCCTTCTCACCTCCCACTAAAGGAACTCTAAAAACATATGAAGACAGCAACACCATAAGATGGCAGGCTCTATCAGTCTAGACCCCTAAGTGACAATGTGGAGCACATCATGCACATGTACCGTGAGTAAGAAATAAATGTTTGTCAAATTAAGCTATTAAGACTTCAGGTTTGGGTGCTGTGCTTGTAGCTCAGTTGGCACAGTGTTTGCCTAGCATGTGTGAGGCACTATGCTCGATCCTCAGCATTACATAAAAGATAAATAACTAAATAAAATAAAGGTATCATGTCCATCTACAACTAATATCTTTTAAAAAAAGATATCAGGTTTTGGGCTGGGATTGTGGCTCAGTGGTAGAGCACTTGCCTAGCACATGTGAGACACTGGGTCCGATTCTCAGCACCACATGTAAATAAATAAATAAATAAATAAATGTCCATCAACAAGTAATAAAAATAAAAAAATAATAATAAAAATAAAAAAGATATCACATTTTGACAAAAAAAAAAAAAGAAAAATTCAGGTTTTGGAGAAAGGAGAGAAAGAGAGTAAAGGAGTAAAAAAGGGATTCCTAAGCTTATTTGCTACTAAATTATAATTGGGGGGCTGGAGTTGTGGCTCAGTGGTAGAGCACTCCCCTAGCACAGGTGAGGCCCTGGGTTTGATCCCCAACACCACATAAAAATAAATAAATAAAAATATTGTGTCCAACTACAACTAAAAAATATTTAAAAAATTTATAATTTGGCTTATTATGATTAATGAGAGCCTTTCTTTTTCTCTTCAAGTTTTCTTAATCTTTCCTTTATGTCTTACTCCTCAGCATATGGCCTTTTTTTTTTTTCTTAATTGTGATAAATTCACCTAATGTAACCATTTTAAAGCAAGAATTCAGTAGTTATTTAGTATATTCATGATGTTGTACAACCACCATCTGTATCTAGTTTCAAAACATTTTTATCACTCAGAAGGAAGTCCCATACTCCTTAATCATTTACTCTCCACCCCACTTCCTCAGTGCCCGGAAGTGACTCCTCTGCTTCCCATCTCTATGGATTTACCTA